TTATAAAGTGGTACATAGGTAGATATAACACTAAGCTATAGATGTAAACACATTTGATGATACATATATGTGTTTAAAGTTGATTTTGACAGCCCGGGCCAAGTCGGACCCAACAATTCTGACATAGATTTTCTTAAGAAAATACAGTAAAAATTCTTCACTTTGAGCCCCTTGTTTTCTTTAAATACGATGTACCGTGACATTATAAAGTGGTATATATGTAGATATAACACTAGTCCAAAGATGTAAACACATTTGAAGATACATCTGGTGTGTTTAAAGTTGATTTTGACCGCCCGGGCCAAGTCGGACCTAACACAAGCCAAACACTTCTGATAGAGACTATGTTGAGAATGTAAAGGGAAAAGGGCTTCACTTTGAGCCCCTTCTTTTCTTTAAATGCGATAAACTGTGACATTATAAAGTGGTATATAGGTAAATATAACACTAATCTATAGATGTAAACACATTTAAAGATACATCTGTGTGTTTAAAGTTGATTTTGACCGCCCGGGCCAAGTCGGACCCAACACAAGCCAAACACTTCTGATAAAGACTATGTTGAGAATGTAGAGGGAAAAGGGCTTCACTTTGAGCCCCTTGTTTTCTTTAATTACAGCGATCTGAGACACTATAAAGTGGTATTTAGGTGGATATAATACTAATCTATAGATGTGAATCCATTTGATGATACATCTGTGAGGTTTAAGTTGATTTTGACAGCCCGGGCCAAGTCGGACCCAACAATTCTGACATAGATTTTCTTAAGAAAATACAGTAAAAATGCTTCACTTTGAGCCCCTTGTTTTCTTTAAATACGATGTACCGTGACATTATAAAGTTGTATATAGGTAGATATAACACTAATCTATAGATGTAAACACATTTGAAGATACGTCTGTGTGTTTAAAGTTGATTTTGATCGCCCGGGCCAAGTCGGACCCAACACAAGCCAAACACTTCTGATAGAGACTATGTTGAGAATGTAGAGGGAAAAGGGCTTCACTTTGAGCCCCTTGTTTTCTTTAAATACGATGTACCGGGACATTATAAAGTGGTATATGGTAGATATAACACTAATCTATAGATGTAAACACATTTGAAGATACGTCTGTGTGTTTAAAGTTAATTTTGACCGCCCGGACCAAGTCGGACCCAACACAAGCCAAACACTTCTGATAGAGACTATGTTGAGAATGTAGAGGGAAAAGAGCTTCACTTTGAGCCCCTTGTTTTCTTTAAATGCGATAAACTGTGACATTATAAAGTGGTATATAGGTAGATATAACACTAATCTATAGATGTAAACACATTTGAAGATACGTCTGTGTGTTTAAAGTTGATTTTGACCGCCCGGGCCAAGTCGGACCCAACACAAGCCAAACACTTCTGATAAAGACTATGTTGAGAATGTAGAGGGAAAAGGGCTTCACTTTGAGCCCCTTGTTTTCTTTAATTACAGCGATCTGAGACACTATAAAGTGGTATTTAGGTGGATATAATACTAATCTATAGATGTGAATCCATTTGATGATACATCTGTGAGGTTTAAGTTGATTTTGACAGCCCGGGCCAAGTCGGACCCAACAATTCTGACATAGATTTTCTTAAGAAAATACAGTAAAAATGCTTCACTTTGAGCCCCTTGTTTTCTTTAAATACGATGTACCGTGACATTATAAAGTGGTATATAGGTAGATATAACACTAATCTATAGATGTAAACACATTTGAAGATACGTCTGTGTGTTTAAAGTTGATTTTCATCGCCCGGGCCAAGTGGGACCCAACACAAGCCAAACACTTCTGATAGAGACTATGTTGAGAATGTAGAGGGAAAAGGGCTTCACTTTTGAGACACTAAAGTGTTATATAGGTAGATATGATATTAAAATTAGTCTATAGATGTAAAGTATGTGTTTTAATTTTAGAAGCGCTTTGACAGTTATTAACACGTGTCGTGTCAGTCCTATGACATTCGCGAATATCCACTTGCAGAAATCATCTTGTGTTGGTTTAACATGAATTAGTAAAGGTTAATTAGGTATGCCAAACACGTTAATTAATGAAAGAAGAGTAGTCAAAACACTGTCATTTCGAATTCCTGCCCAGGACATCACACCCCTGCACGCTAAGGTCGGTGAGAAACCTTCTCATCAAAGTAAAGACACAGTCAAGACACTGACTTTTCGGTATGAACTCTCGGTATGTAGATATGATTATCAGTTTATTACATTGAAGATACAGTTTGATTCAAACTCAATTAAATGAGCAAAACTATCCGTTTCTGGACATTTGAGATGTGCCTAGATATGCACGTTTCGTTTTATTATTCTGCAATCCATTTTTAGTATTACCCGCTGGCCCGGCCCGGCCCGACTTTTAGGCAATCCCGGAATTTACTGAGTATACTTCTCTCGCTTCTATCAAGAGGAGAGTTGACATAAGCTTCTACATGTAAACTATTTTTAAACAAGCGATATGTTCGTACTTTATTTCCATTAACGTTTCCTTTGTCATCCCATAATTGGGTAAACCAGTTAATATAATCAGCACAGATCAAACCCTGTTTTGAAAGATCAAATTCACATGGCGAAATGTTATAAATATTAGAAACAGGCAACTCCCAAGATGAAACGAGAGATAAAACTTTACTGTACCATGATTTACTAAAATTGGAAGACCATCTGTTAACTGCAAAAACAAGTCTTGAATGCTGAACATAATTAATACGACGCCAAAAACGGAGAATTTCAATGTACTGTTTTGTAAGACAGGACACCCAACCCATGTCACCACGGTCTGCAACATTCGGGGTTTTGTTACTCACACCGAGCAAAAAGCGACATGCGACATGCAGTTACAATTACTTCCCAATCGTTCGATCACTGAGACGATTGGAACATGGTGGTCGCAATAACAAATTGCACAGTGAGGTGAGGTGAAATGGGGTTTAACGTCGCGTCCACGATTATTGCACTTTTATAGCGATGTGCATGCACGTGTGTGTGTGTGTGTGTGTGTGTGTGTGTGTGTGTGTGTGTGTGTGTGTGTGTGTAAATGTGTAAATGTGGGTCTGTTGGATATTACATAAAACATTCATCTTGAGCGGGATGGTAGTTCGAGTTGGATAAGCATGTTAACTATGATCTTCTTGAGGTAGAGAATGCCGCGCATGAATGTATCAATGAGATTCCCAGGTACATGGGGGCTTTTCGGCAGGAATATCCACACAGAGGAGACTTAAATGGGGATCGGGTGAACATAATGTGGTACCTGGTAGATTGTGTGTCATCAAACCGGACAACTTTGGTCTTTTACTGATTGACAGTGACATCATAACTACAACTTTATGTGAGTACGAGTAGCTCTATTTTAACCATGAATTGACTTTATTGGGTTATCAAAAAAGACATATGGACCTAAACTAGCCAAATATCATAGGGGGTGTGGGGGGGGGGGGGGGGGTGGGGGGGTGGGGGGGGTGGGGGGGGGGTGTGTGTGTGTGTGGGGGGGGGGGGGGTGGATGTGGCTGAGAGTCGGGGAAAGATGGTGGATTTAACAACAAGTAAGGTCATCTTGAGCGGGACGGTTTTCGTAGATGGATTAGCATATGGACTATGATTCTCCTTAGGTAGAAAATAAAGATCCACGATGTTCGACCTGGTAGAAGTGTGTAATCAAACCGCACAGCATTGGTCTTTGATTGACTTTGGCGTCAAAACAAACTCATTCATGTACTTGATCTGAATGTTCATCTTAATTGTTATTGATAGTCACGGAGCCGTGATCCAGAGAACAGGGTGTCATGAGATAAAAATGAAGTAATAATAGGATTACCAGAAAAACGGGGTATAACACCCAAGCCAATAAGCTTCACTCAGAAACACCAGAGTAAGTCAGTACAAGATTGAAAACTGCCCCATGTCACAATGTCAATAAAGAAAGGGAGGAGCTTGGTGATATCGTTCTCTCCCAGTAAATTCCGATGTCAAATAACGACGTTATTTAGACGGAAAAACGATGGTTTGAAAGCGTCCAAATAACGTTGTTTTCAGTGTTTTCTGAGGAGATGACGTTTACAGTGCAAGGAAATGCATTTTGAGTGAATTTAATAGCGTGATGAAACCAAGGTCAAAATTTGGAATAGCTTACAATCCGGAACATATGTGTTTAGTCCCTCACTACATAAACATTCACCAATTATTTCGTTACGCTCTAGAAGGCCTGGTTTCGATTTACTACATGGATGCTATATGTGAGAAGCTTATATCTGGGTAATAAATATAAATTGTCAAAGCAACAAACAATCCAGTCTAGATTATCCACCGAAACAGATTCCATTTGGCGTAAAGGGTATAATGGCTGTGAAAATTGTAGAAATGGACCCCTGATAATCAGTGATGACACCATGTGTTGGCGAAAATGGTCAGCACGTCCTGTCCTACCGGAAGCACCGCCATTCACACAATTTGCATAAACAAGGTAAGTATGAGTTTAACTGAATCATACTTCAAACACGTCAAAGTTGACACGTATTAATTTTAATACCATACAAAAATCTACCAGGATTCAGGAGCAAGTTCCACAACGCTATCGTAGCGCTAAGCCTATCATAAGTCATAGACTGTCGTTGCGCTAAGATCTCCTTGTGGAACGGACCTCGTACCACAAAGTTTGCAATCACGTCACAATACCCTTTGACGTAATTTCGTGAATTTTGCTGCAAGATCCACCGGCGAACCAATGCCACGTGACGTCAGCCTAGCAACAGGCTTGCTCGGGTCATTGACTGTGAATAAGCTCCTCTCAGTGATTTATCATCTCTACACACAATGTTGTTGAATAAGCTAAGGCATGTTAGGAGTTTTCAAAATTTGTTTGTTAAACTTGTTTGCCGCAGTACAAAAGAACGCGCTTTGATATTATACAATGTGTGATACAGTTGTATGTTTACTAAACGGGCGATTAATAAATTGAGACCCGCCACCGAATACCTACCAGGACCTTCCACGACTCTCTCTGGGGCAGGTTCAAAGTTGCCCACCTTTCCCTCCTTGTACACAGCTTCCATTGATTCTGGAGGTTCTGCCTGGAACTCCAGAGGAGGCTGCATTCTTACGTTTCTTGATTTATGAACCTGCAGTGGATAATGTATGTTAGAGGTTAAGCTTTATAATGAAGTCAAGCTGAGGGACCGACCATTTGATATTTTGGGGTGAGGGGCGCCTGGGATTTTATGTATAAAAATAGTCCCCCCAAAGACTTTAAAAAAATGATTATGACTGTTGAAAAAAATGTCTCCCACACATCTTAAAAATAATAATTTAGCTGTCGATCATCATTACCATCATTGCTAAAAAACAAAAACTGAGACTATTGAAAAAAAACTCCCACAAAAATAACATAAATGCAAGTTTTGCTTAGTCAGATAATATATGCAGGCCCATGATCATCATTTTATTTTAAATCTGGTTTTGCAGCTGTTGTCGTGACAAAATTAGTCTCCAACTAAACCAACTAAACACATGCTTCATTCTGGCGCTCTCAGCTCACGAAGTCACACCTGGCTCAACAGTCAGCTCATATTAATCATAGAAGTCCCACAATAATGTTTTTAACGGCGTAAGTCACCTGAACACTGTTATAATTTGTTCATATGTAATGGTACATCATGTGTGGATATGGAAGGGAAGTACACCTACATATCTCAACAAGGGTGCAGTGTGTTCTTTGATGCACATACGTTTTGTGGACTGTCAGGTTGATTCCAAACATATGCCATTGACTCTATTTTAATAATTACCATCTGACCATAATTCCAAACAAAATTTACCTCCTAGTTTAAATGTCGAGAGTCAAGAAAAAATGTGTAAACATATTTGATGTGAACAAGAATATAATATCCATTGATACTTTAAATAATTGGTACCCCTCTATTATTGAATTGACAAGTATATTAAAAACTAATATCACTGCTGGTTTAATAATTATTCTCAATGCAGCTGAGTGTATGAAGAAACCTGCTGTAAATTGAAACAAGCCACAAAATGGATTTTATAATTTGATGTGACTACAGGCTAAACGAGAAGGTGGACGTCATCTGATGCCGATAACATAAGTCAAAATAATGTAAAAGAATGAATTGCCACATGAGAAATAAATATAAACATAAATGGAAAGTATCAAAACCCAATGATCCGAACTTAAATAATGTATCCGGGATTCATCTATGTTTTGAAAATAATTTAGAAGTTTATCATGCCCGTGTGACCGGAGTAATGAGAGCGATAAAAACTGTTTGAGTATTTTAAAACTGTTTAATGTTGATGAAATAAGAGAAAATTTAGAGTTTATCTATAAATGCATTCTGGAGGCGCTCATCACGAATCAAGAGATTCAGGCAATTGACCATTCCAAGAATTGCAAGTTCATTTTGACATTACGAGAGTAACATTGAAATGTAAGAATGTTCTTAACCTGTCATATTTTCATTCTTAAGAATTTTATTTAAGAAGTGATTTGACTTCTGATGTATTTCCTGAGTCCTGGACAAGTCAAATATAACCTTATTACAGGCGACAAGCAAAATTCAAGTTATTACTGAGGGATATCTCATTTATGTGTGCTAAGAAAATGTACACCTCCATTTTAAATACCAGACTTTCTAACTGGACATATGTTCGCGATAAAGTAACACAAACGCAAGCTGGTTTTCGCCAGAGATGTTCTGCAATGAATCATGTTTTCACTTGCACAATGCAATTGTACAAAAATGTTTATCTAAGGAGAAAAAGAAGCTCAAAGTTACCTCTGTTAAATTTAGAAAGGCATGTAACTCTGTTGATCGTATTAAGCTTTGGAATTGAATGCACGCATCTGGTTTAAGGGGGAAAATGTTATGGGCTCTTAAAGCCATCTATACCTCGATGAAAGCATGTGCAAAATGCAGTGATGATGTGTGTAATGAATATTTTGACTGTCCTATTGGCTTAAAACTAAAACAAGGCTCTATATTAAGCCCTCTTTTATTCTCCTTCTTTATCAATGAATTATCTATGGAAATTGTAGACAACTGTAAATATGGGGTAAAAGATTCCCTGACCTACTTGAAATCTTGTTGTTGATGTTTGCAGATGATGTTATACTTGTATCTCGGTTACAGATAAAACTTAATATTCCAGAATCGTTAACGGATATATGAGGATTAACATTAAATCAAGACGAGAGAAAAATTGTGGTATTTAGAAGAGGTGGGCGTTTATCGAGAAATGAATAAAAAAATGGTTTTCTTAAGGTGATGAAGAGGCTTTAACGGTAAGTCATACATATATTTAGGAATAATTATCTCATCTACAGATAAATGATTAAATGTATTCTGGATTTGTCATCAAAAGGTAAACTAGCGTTTATGGAAGTCATCCATCATTTGTATTGACCCATCTGTATTTTTCAAGATATTCGACACCCAAATATAGCCTATTCTATTATATGGCTCAGGGGTATAAACGAATTTGATGATTGAAGTTGTCAATTTAATTGCTTTCATTATGTTGCTTTTCTTAGACTGCATAAAAGGTTCCAATTGATATGTATAATCAAACATGTAAAGTTAAATATATGACACATATAAAGAGTGTAAAAGCCTGATCGAATCTGAGAAGTACCTCATCGTTTTAACAGACTGAAAACAACATAATATGTTGATAAGACTAAGAACGGGCTTGTTAAGGTTACAAAGGGAGATGAGGATTGATTGAAGTTAACGTTTATGTCCTCTTTGTAATCTAGGGAAGATGAATATCATTTTACCTTAATATGAGACTCCAATTAGGACATAAGACACCTCTACCTGCCCAAAATGTTTTGTCATAATCCGAATATGTATAAATCTATAATATCTATGTCAAAGTTATGATATAAGATAGAGTTTTGCTAACATTGGAATAATATTTACTTATAAATACATGTACCATTGTCATATGTAAATATGCATTTTATCTGCATATGGGCCAGTGGCTTTCATTCGATTAAAGACTTGACATGTTTGCGACGGGTGACAGGAGGGGATACGCTCACCTTTCCGCGAACACCTGGTACCATTACTATTTGATAGTGATTCTTAAACACATGCTCATGATATAGTCGGAGTCGTACAATGGACAATGGAGATTTCTTATGATTATGTATTGTTTGTAGTGATATGGATCAGTTAACACATTAGATTAACCATGTGCAACAATTTAGTGACTTTAATAGTAAGTATAGACCTTTTTATTTTTAAGGTGATTTTTTTCTTTATCTATATAGCCTTCTGTGAACACACCATTCTTGTTTTAGAATCGTATTTTCATGAACAGAGCTGGAAGTTGTTGACAACAGCTGATTATCAGCTATTAACGCGTGTCCCTCCAGTTAATTTGAAACAAGTATGATTCAATGAATTGCTATAAAAAAAATAATGGTGTATGTTTTTCATTTGCCACGCAGTCAACCAAACAGCCCTAGTTACAGCGTCGCTGAAGAAGCAACAAAGCGCCGAGACTGCCACATTAAACTCAACAGCGTTCATTATTGACATTTGACGCAAACTGTTAGGTTCCAACAGTAAAGACGAGCTTGCTGATCAGGCACATCAGACCACTGTTATCGGACTGAAAAAGTATCCTCATTATAACGTGGACAGCCAAATGCACGTCACCGAACATTGTCCATCGCGACACGTTCATAAACTTTGTCCTGGCCATTTTCCCCATTCATAACAATCACTGACGTAGAGATCATTTCCACCTTTAGTCGACTCGATTCTTTTTTTTAACTTTTAAATCGAGACATACCGTCTGTGTCATGTGCAAAGAATCAGTATCAGTGCCAAATACATTTAGTCCAGTCAACATGGCTGTAGTTATGTCACTATCACAAGAATCATATGAGTCCATCATTAAGATGAAAGGGAAGAGCTTAGAGCCTTAGGGCCAATGTCATGTGGAGTCTGTTTTGAGAAAAGTGAGGAAAACACATAATATCATGCATGTTGATGATCTTTTTTCTTACGGATAAATTCTTAGAATTCAAGACATTAACGCATTCTGACAGCAGAGATATAAATGTTGTTATAAAAACATACACCAACTTCGACCAGGCTCGGTTATTTTGATATTTGAGCCTAATAGTTATAGTAGTTTATAATGATAAAAGTTTTACCCTTCTTGAAATGTATGTAGATCATATTTAAGAAATAAGCGACTCGTGGTTGGTGTTTTTCGTACAATAAACCACTTCAGGAAGAATAAATAATGAATGGCGCATGGATCATTGCTCATTATACCAATCTGATTCAGACTAGATTATTAACAGATCGCCGTCACATAAACAAACAAACCAACCATCAAGATAAATAACCTTTCCAGGTATATGAATAGCGTGGCCAAATATCAGAATTCCAACATATGCGATAAGCAATGTATTGTAATTTACTTGTCCCAGGGTAACCTGAACTTCAAGTTCTCCTACTGAACACTGAACCAGATCACCACAGAAATATTAAACGAATGAGCATTGTACCTCAGTGAATGAATCGTCCTTGCTGTTGGAGTGGAGCTCGTCCACATTAAAGTAGTTTTCTGATATCCGAAAACAAACGAAAAAGAGGGCGCCTAAGATCACCGTCGTTCTCCATCGTCTTATTGAGCGAACCATGTCTGAAATTGGAAATATGTCCTTTAAGAAAGTTTTAAACATCGAAGCTCGAATGAAATGTTTTCAAGTAAACTAAATGAATGTCGACATGGGTGAATAAAAACCTTGGAGTTCGGAAACACATTAGTTGACGCATATACTGATGAAAAGGGATCGCTTAGTTTTAGACACATTAAAATGATATGCTATCATAGGTTCCCAGCCTCGTCAGCCAAATATGCGTTGGAAACAATGCACACAAACACATCTCATTTGATGTTTTGAATTTGTATGCGCGCAGGCATTTCAGCTAAGCCCCTCACATAGCAGGAATATTAATAAGTGTGGCGTTAAGCAACAAACAAACAATGCTAAGCCCCTTTAGTTCTGTTTTTTGCCTTGCCTTCAATCACTGGGACACCTATACCTCAAAACCATGCAAGAAATATACATGTATTATGTATCAATATAGTTTTAGAGGATAAGTTCAGTGGTACGTCCTACCGGGATTGCTGAAACGTCCGTACCCTGTGGCCAGTGTTCCTTTGAGTACGAAAGCTGCACAACTATTAATGCCAACTGTATAAACAGTGTCAACTTGTGCCATATGTACAAGAGATCGAAGTGCAGTTGCGAGTTGGTAATAGTGTCTATAAAGGACCTCCTTCAGTCAATCAATTTTATTTCAACGGTAATACGAAAGCACCGTGCAAATTTTCGAGAATCATTATTCTCTGGCGTTGACTTTTTGAATTCACTCTTAGAGATACTTGAACTCTCACTGTCAAACTTTATATTCATCTAAATCTCCCTCTGGACTAACATCTGGAGCTAAACCACTAACAACTTGAATAGTAGCTGACATCTGAATAGTTTTGTTTGTTTGTTTTTTAACGCCACTCTCAGCAGCATTTCAGCTACATGACGACGATCTGTAAATAATCGAGTTTGGATCAGACAATCCAGTCAGGTTGACATCATGAGCATCGATCTACGTATTGATATACGATTACATGTGTCAACGTGCATGTGTTGACGGGGAATTAGCTCTTAGCGGAATAAAGGACAAAATCAACATCACTGTCCCGGAACGCTTTATGCACAACATGTAAACAATAAACAACAATTGCACAATGAGCGGAATACCTGCTCTGGCAACACAAACACAGCGATAAGCGGACCTTCCAGCTCAGGCGTACAAGAGGTGAGCGGAGCTCCAGCTCACCTCAGGGCGTTTCCTACGAGCGGCACATCCTGCTCAAGGTCGTCCCTATGCCAGCACTCGGAATACCAAGCCTGACTAACACCCAAGTAACAGTGTAATGGTAGCACATATATAGTAATGAACAACAATGGACAGACAAAGAGACAATGACATTGCTTTGGACATTGGACCTATGGGCGTGATTAACCGACACAGTTCATGGGATGATCAATTAGGGCAATAAGTGCCATACTATAAAAAGCAGTAGTTAAAGGGAAGTGATATAGTAGTCCAGGCTGACTGACAGTCAATATACAATGAAATGTTGGTGAGGATTAACAACAGGGATTAGCGCCTAAAACGTAATGACAATTAAGTTATGGAGACATGACTACAGGGTAATTTGCCCTTGGAGTCAAATGTACTGCAGACAATGGTAGTCATATATCAGTCGCTATGACAACTTCCCTCCGTTCCGTGAAGCTTGGACCCCAAGCTTACATGAGTCCAAATTGATATGTGTGACACGTTTTCACCAACGAAAACCACAGTGCAAAATGTTAACATAATCAGTTAGATGAGTTCAGGATATTGTTGAAATACGTGTGCACATATACCTATCCAATGATGGTATGAAAGTGATCATCTAACCAGTTTGATTTAGTGCCAGTTTGAAAACTAACCAAATATTGAACACACAACGATACAACAAATATAACATTTGTTACATCAACCAAGTATTCTTTGTAATGTGCAATTTCACTACGAGGTAATACAACTTTGCACAGATTCAATAAATATATCACTGATAGTTCTTTGAATTCAGGAGTCTGGCTTGGAGGTGCGACTCAGTACCCAATAATGATAATGAGCTATGTCATAAAAAAGTACATCCCAGCAATATTTCGCATAAAGAAATTTGAAACCAGGAGTCTAGCTTTACCGCGAGACTCAAACGGTTCTTGTGGGTACTAATGCCCTTTTAAGTACAATAGGTGCTCTTCCCGTGTCTTTGACGGAGCTTGCCCAGATATTGTGGGTGCGATGCACAAGAGAAAAAATCCTTAATTTCGACATCAAAACTCCGAAATGCTGAATACTGCTTTGCTGTTAATTACTTAATACTGACATACAATATCCATATGTGTGGGGGTGGCTTACCCAAGAATATCCCTAATCTGAATTCAAAGTCCAGCTCAGGCGTACAAGAGGTGAGCGGAGCTCCAGCTCACCTCAGGGCGTTTCCTACGAGCGGCACATCCTGCTCGAGGTCGTCCCTATGCCAGCACTCAGAATACCAAGCCTGACTAACACCCAAGTAACAGTGTAATGGTAGCACATATATAGTAATGAACAACAATGGACAGACAAAGAGACAATGACTTTGCTTTGGACATTGGACCTATGGGCGTGATTAACCGACACAGTTCATGGGATGATCAATTAGGGCAATAAGTGCCATACTATAAAAAGCAGTAGTTAAAGGGAAGTGATATAGTAGTCCAGGCTGACTGACAGTCAATATACAATGAAATGTTGGTGAGGATTAACAACGGGGATTAGCGCCTAAAACGTAATGACAATTCAGTTATGGAGACATGGCTACAGGCACTGGACAAAATATCATCCATTCCAAAAAATCCAAAACTTGGAAATACCACCATTCCAATTGGAAATATGACCATTCCAATATTTGGAAAGGTCATATTTCCAAGCTTGGATTTGTTTGGATTTGTTTGTAAATGTTTGGAAATATTTGGATACAACATGTCATAATCATATCTGTTAAACGTTGTACAACTTTTGACCTTATGTGAGATTAGTAATGACATGAAAGTAAATAATTAAGAGTATTTTGGCACTATGTTCCACGAAAAAGACCAAATCATGAGCAAATTTAACTAAAAGAAATTCTGTCATTTAAAGTGGCTACTCTTTATATCTAATTTCTTATCTTCCTTGCCTATAATCATATGACATTGACTTTGAACTTTGAACAATTAAACAAATATTTTGTTTTCCCATACCGACTTACGGTTGTCGTAGAACAAAGACCGTTTCGAGAATATAGAGGGCCTCATTATTATAATTTGAACTAATATACATATGTACATAATAGTACTAGGTATAAATGAATTTTGATAAGTGTTCGTACAAGAATATGAACTTCGAATTATCTCGGAATTATGCGCAACACATAGGGCTGAAAATTGTATACTTGTTCTGGAACTATCTGACGGTAATTCAAAACAGGGAACAACATTTCGTCAAATGAATTATTGAGCCAGGAATGCAACGATTTAAATGCTGAAAAAATGAATAAACATATCTGGAACAGAGTAGACTGTTCATGTGGACAATTATATGCTACGTCTATTTCCAATGAAGTTTATCACCCCATGTTATAGCATTTGTTTCATATAAAAGATAGAAACCAAATAAATGGGACAATTAGTTGTTATGAATTAGCTTTACTTCTGTGACATATCACACAACTAAATGTGAATATGTTTATCAAATAATCAATTACAGTAATTAACCTAGTGTCCTTATTTATACACAATTTAATTACGTATTGGGGTACACTATATAATACACATATACACGGATTGATTTTTGTTGTTGACAATTTAATCATAACCCAAATCATACAAATCAAAGTGTGAAAGTAGTGACTACCTTTATGATCAAGGGTATAAATACTCAATTGTTTCTATTAATCCTAATAGTATAACAATAAACCCTGTGTATATACTGAGCATATTTAGATACATCCGGATCTACGACCGCAGCCATATAATCAATCAAAGAAAGTATATTAGATTGAATTACAAATGTGCTATCACTTAAACAAAATGTTCCGTTATCCACGGAAGCCTAAACCTGAGAGAAATAAAGTTGTGTTCTGTTCTGAAGACGCCGTCATGATTAGTTGGCGCCAGTCTAGACTGTCCAATCAACGTGAATATACAAACCGTGATGTTACTTGACCAGTTGATGACACCTGTCAAACTCAAAGTGCCCCTGGTCCTCCACCCACCATGTGTAATACTTTAGCGTACTTGATTGTTTAATTTGCAGTTATATCACTGTTAGGCTGAGTGATGAGAGAATACATTTTGTTGTTTTTGTAAATGATCGTTTCCATTTTCAACGTGGTAACCTTATAAGTGACTAACTGTTTTATCATGATGAAATGAAACATATTAAAATAATCAGAGGGACTGACGATCGCATTTTTCGCATAAATGTCATGCTCGCATTAATTTCATGATTTACTGAAGATAGATTTGAACATTTCTGAGCAACGATCATGTTTGGGTAAAGGAAGTAATCTTGTCTCCGCTTGCAATTGGATTCAGTTCCGAGGTCGCAGCTTGACTGTTCGGTACGGCCGAAAGGCGGCATCCATGTTGTTCACGCTCCGCTGATCACGGGGCCTCATTTGTCTGTATTCTGCTTATGAGCCGGGATGCGCATGAAACACGGGTGTCAAAACGAATATATTTACCAATTATACGTACGGTCAATTAGCAAGTCCAAGAGACAATACCCTGGTTCTACAATCTTTAGGTGTAATTACGTCGCATGCCCCTGGTTCACGGTTCGTCTGATCTCCCGTCATAAAACCACGATGTTTATTCACCTGGAGCCTCCGACAGCGCCGACTTCCTGTGTACGTGTACACTACTGCCTAGAAGTCCGTTCCCCTTACACGCATAGGCAACGCGTTACGCAACCAGTGTGCATCGGGTTGGTCACGCGTGTGATACCCGTGTGCAACGCGTTGCACACGGGTGTGCACCCCAACCGCCACTC